TATATATATATATATATATATATATATAAAGAATTGAATACAATAAGCAGTATTCTTTTATTTATCCATTAATTTATGTATAAAAATTACTTTATACATTAATAATAATTTAGTTAATTATTTAATTTAATAAAAAGATTTATTTTTCTTCTCTTTTATTTAGGCAGTAAATAAGCCAGGAAGTCTGCACAGGAGAAGAATTCAATACTAGTATAATTCCTTTTTTTGTTAATGAATTAGAGTAAGAAATTGATATATTTTCTTATAATTAATTAAATTGTTAATTAATTTAAATAATATATTTAATTTAATATATTTTTCTTCTTTTTTATTCATCATGGCAACATTTTTTATGCAAAAAAATCAATGGTACCGCCGATGTAGCTCAGTCGGTAGAGCGCGAGGCTCTTAACCTCGTGGTCGCGGGTTCGAGCCCCGTCGTCGGCTTCCTTTGAATTAATTAATAATTATTTATTTATTTCTTTTTTTTTTTTTTATTTATTTTATTTTTTCTGACGTAATTTCTTCTCATTTGCCACTCATCATGGTCATCAATTCGGTGTACTGCGGTGGCAGCATCGCGACGCAGGCAGAAGCCCGACAGCAGTCTTCTTCCTTCTTAAACTGACAACAAATAGGGAAAATAAAGGTTTTTTTAGCTCATTTACTTTTATTTGTATCTTTTTATAGTCGGCAGACAGACATAGAATATCATTTCTTACCGAGATCACGCCTCCTGTTTCGTATCGAGCCGGCGCGGGGTACCCATAGTGGTTCCCTGCTTCTTTTTGTTCCTTTTTCAAGTCCTTTAGTTCTCCTGACGTCCTCTGTACGGCCAAATACAGTGTACATACACACCAACACCGCTGCTGCGAGCATTTGTGGCCAGGGGGCCCTCTACTGTGTCGTCAACCGCTCCATGTTGCGGCAAATAGGAGGAAAGCTGTGAAGGCAGCGAGCGTACATAGAGGCTTCTTCGCCCATCACCCTTATATAAAGAGCCATGGAAGGCCGAGCAGGTACCTCAGCCGCATAGAAAACCCCAGAGGAGGGTTTCTGTGTCGTGTCCATGGATGGGGGATTGAAGGCTTTGTTTCGATTGTAAATCCTGAGATGTTGAATGGATTATTCCCCCTCTTCGTGGGCATGCATGCATGCAGGCATGCATGCCTTCTGGCAGGAGCAGTATAGCCTGCAACTCCCTCCGTCTATGGTGCTGCATACCGTGGCATTTTTCTTCATGTAGTGTGTGTTTTTTTTTCTTTTCTTTTTTTTTTGGTCTTTGTTTGCAGAGATAGTGTCGCGAAACCCTTTATCGCGGCCTCCTTTACGCCCTTATGAGGTCTTTGTTACCCGCCGAGTTCCTCTTATTGTCTACTTTAGACGTTGTGTTAAGCTGCTGAGGGGCCCCTATGCCATGGCAGTTATAAGAGGAACAGGCAGCTGCATCAAGACAGCAGTCTTTTTAGCTCAAGACGTCGTTGCTTCCTTTGGGGGGCAAGTCGTCCTTACCTGCTCAACAACAGAGGCAAGGCAAACACCAGACAGCGCAGCTGCAGCAAATCCAACAGCAGCAGCTGCATCAGGAGGAGCAGCAGGGGCAGCAACAGAGGGAGGGCGTGCAGCGGAACGGGAGGAAACAAGTACAGCAAAGGCTGTCAAGCAGAAGGGGGAAGCTGCTTTTGTTGCTGCTGCTTCTAAGTTAGCAGCAGCATTGGGCAGCAGCAGCGGTGCTGCTGTCTTATCCCTTGCTGCTGAGCCATCGAGTGCTCAGGCATATGATGAAGTTGTTTCCCTTGGCAAGAAACACTGCAGCGAAGATGAAGAAGCCCTCGAGGCAGCAGGCATAGACCAGGAGCTCAGTGTAAGCAAACAGACAGAAGAGGCGGATATATACCCTCTGTGTCCTGCTGCCGTTATATCTTGGGTATTAGCTGCCGTATCTGCCTTTATCTCTGCTGCTAATTGGATTGCTGCTTGCGTCGTTGCTGTTGCTGCTGCTACTCCTACTACTACTGTGTTGCTGCAGTTGTTGCAGCTTGCCTTGTGTCTCGTACTGTGGTGCACAACGCTGGACGTTTTGCTCGATTTTGTTGTTTGAACTCTGTGGTAGCGACAGCTAAGGATGCAAGGGAAAAGAAAGAAAAGGAAAGGGGAAGAAGGGAAAAGGAAGGAAGAGTATTTCTTGTTACCTCTATATTTATCCTCTGTCTTTTGTTTGTTTGTGTTGCGTCTGCAGTCTTTTGTTAGACAGCGAAACATCAGCGCCATCAAAATTGAGCTAAGGCGGCTGTCTCTCCAGTAACACTTCTTTGCCACTTATGCAGCTGCTGCTGCTGCTGCTGCTGCCGGAGCAGCGTTTCAGTAAGCCGCGCAATCAATGACCGTAGCATGTGTGCTGCTGCGGTCGTTTTTTTTCTCGCAGCAGCTGCAGCTAGAAGAGGAAAACAAGGGGTTGACAGGGCAGCGAGGGTGACCTTTCCTTGCTATTTGTTTTCTCTACTAGCGCTAGAGTCAGAGGAGTTTCTTTGATACTAGTTCTATTCATTGGGAATCTAACCGCCATCACCCCGTACAGCTAGCTAGCTAGCTGTACATCCCCCCTAACCGCTAGTTGCCTACCACCTGTATGACAACAGGCGAATTTTTGTCCATTTTCAAACTTAAGGCTGTTCTATTCTTTCTCGTTGCGCTATTGCTGCACAAAAGCAATAAAATGGTTTTCGACACGCAACGGCAAAGTGTATAAATAAATATTGCACCTTACACCGGAAACAAGCACAGATCCAAGTCTCAGGTAGAGCTAATCAAATGGAGTACACAGCACAAATATATGCACATCAGCTGCTGCACCCCGTAGAGCATTTGCACTTAATACGAATAAATAAAACTTAAAATTGTTTCCCTGCTGCGGCAAGGTCCAAGTAATAGACACGGCTGTAGCGGTGCTGCAGCCAGCTGCTGCTGCTGGTGTCGGGTCGCAAAAGAAAGGGAGGCAAAAGGCACGAAACTTGAGCCTTCGTCACCTGCCAGCTGCCAGCTGGCTGTCCCGTCCTTGCCTTTTTCCCTTCTTTCACCGCGCGCTTGCTAAAGCGCCATCGACAAGAGACAGTCTCGTTGTTTTTGTCTGTCCTTCACTTTACAGGCTCCCGGCTGGGGCTACGAAGGTGGGCATCTGTTCCTGCACCTTCCTCGCCGCCTCCGTGGGACTCATCCCCCAGTCGGGTTGCCACTTCGTGTAAGACAGGCAAGACGAGAGCTGTACTTCCTCCTGGGAGCAACGGCTCCCAACTATCCCAGGAGTTGCTGCTGCTGGTGTTGTTGCTGTCGAATTCGAGCAGCTGTTCGGGGCTGTGAGCTTGCGAGTGTTGGCTGGTATCTGTGGGCTTCACTTCAGGAGGGGCTTTTGGGGCAATGTTTCGGGCGCTGCTGCTGAGACGGCTGCTACTGGAGGGCGGCAGCAGGGGCAGTTGGTCGCTGCCCATTGCTGGCCGCAGTGTAAACGGCGAAGGGCTCTGAGTTCGGGAGGCCCTTGGCGTCGCTGCAGCAAGCCTTTTCCCAAGCTCGTCTACTATATTCTCTGCATGAGGAGTGCTTGCATCCCTAGAGGCAGATGATTGCGTCCCTTTCTTAGTGTGCCCCCTATTCTTGTCTTCTTTCGTGCTTACGCCGGGCCCACCTAAGCGCCTAGTTGGAGAGAGCTGCTGTGGTCGTTTTGGCTCTGCATACTCGGGTCCTGAGGTGTCCATACACCTGCCTCGGCGCCACATGGCAAAGTCGTTCAGTATCCGTTGGCTGTCATCTTCTTTGCTGCTCACCGTTCTTCGCTGGGTTGTCGGCTTCGTCGAGGGGACTGCTGTGGGAGTTCCTAAGGGATGCTTGTATCCCGTTTGGATGCATTCTTCTCTGTCCACCAAGCCTTCAGCTTCTCCCCAGACCCCTCCTAGCGAGCCATCTCCATTAATGGTTGTAATGGGAGCTCTAGGGGACCACTGGCACTGTCTCTCCGGCCCCAGAAGGAGGGCAGACTGGCTGCGGTAACGGACGTCGTCTGCTGTCCCTCTCGCCCCCAAGCTGCCCGTTCTCCCGTTCCTGCGGGGGCTCAACATGGGCGTCCCGTTAGCTCCAATGGCCTTGGACCGGCCCCACAGAACAGAGTGGCTTACCGGCTGATGCTGTTGGCCAAGACCTCCAAGGGGGCCGAGGATTGGGAAGGCTTGCACTGGTGAGGTCCCTCCGCCTACGTGTGCACTCGAGACTCCCCTCTTTGGCGAGAACATTTGCTTATTAGGATCATTACAAGCTGCAGGGAAGGCTCCTCCTGCAAGTTCTTCGGGAGGCGTCGCCGGCCGCAACACAACATGCACATTTTGATCTGCCGGCGGCCGAAGAACCTTAAAAAGGGATATCCAAGGAGGGGATCGCCCCCTTCGGTCTTTGCGCTCCCCTGAGCCAATATCTTTCTTCGGTGTTGGCAAAACAGGCTGCTGCTTCTGGCGTTGCACTGGGTGGTACTCTTGCTTATCATTTGTGTGGTGCAGCGCATCATCCCTTGCGGGGCCTGAGCTCAACTGTTGGGTGTTGTGGCCATCTTCCCCTAAATTCACGGTGCCGGCGAGAGGCCTCGAGACATATTGTGAGTCATTTGGTTGCCTGCTGCTGCTGCTTATGGCACCGTCCTTGTGGGGGGGGATTGGTTGGTCGACCAACAAGTTAGGCCCCGTACTTCCACTGGCCAGTGAAGCACGAAGTGCTTCTCTGCGCATTGCATCTCGACGAATTCCCGACAGTATAATCAAGTCCGTGTTTTTGAGTTTTGGTTTATGTATTGTATTCACAGGGAACATTTCCATCTTCAACGGGTTACAGCTATTGCCTTCTATGACGCTGTGCCTCCTGCTGTGATTGCTGTCTTCCCCGCTCACTGGGGCCTCTCCCAGGAGATGGGCTGTTTGCCCTGTGGGTGGGGCTAACATTGAACCGAGCAGCACAGACTCGTGAATGGCCTTGTCGGGTGGCGGCTGACTACTAGCCCTTGACTTAGTCACTGAAACAGGAGTTGCAGCAGCCCGCGAAGGACGCACTTCAGCTGGCACTGTGGGAACAGCAGCTCGCCCCACACCTATAGGTCGTTTGCCGTCTTGGGTCACCTTGGAATACGTCCCTCTTAAACAATCAAGGACGATTCGACAACATTTGTCTGACTGCGCCTTCGACGTAAGTGGAGGGCTGGAGCCTGTCAGATCCAACTGTTGTGTAGAACCCCTCGATTCTGGTAACTGGCTGCCTGCAGCACGCGGAGTGTGTATATGTTGGGGAGGGAGCTGCTGGAGCTGTGGAGCTGCAGTGGTCACAGTTAAGGCTGGACAAACGCGTGAAGCAGTGCTGCCCCGTTCTTCTCTCAGTGTGGCAGTTCTCTGCCCCGGAGAAACTGTTGTTATGGGCCCTTCTTGTCTTGGAAGTGGGCACCTGCCACAAGGGTAGGGGTGCAGTTCAGATGCGCAGCTGCCGCCTGTGTCAGCTGTTAGACCTGGACTGCTTGTGTCCGCTCCTTCTTTGTCGCCGCTCATATATCTCCTGCTGTACCTTCTAATCTCTCTTCGTAGACTTTCCACCTCGGGCATTGTAACTGCTCCGTCGAAGAGAGTGTCATGTTCTCGTGAGCTTCCGTCACTCCGTTTCAATAACAACACAAACAGAGATACCAACAACCTCTCAACGGGAGTCTCGGCTCCGCAGTGGGCCCCATCCCTTCCCCTTACAACGTAGGCACATTCTGTATTCCCCCCGGTGGGGGTTCCATTCAAATCTAAATGCGGACAGCCGTGGGCTTCATTGGAATACCTGATGCATAGCAGAGAGCACACTGAGTTGACAATGAGTTCTTTTCACCCAGAAAACCAAGAAGTGTTCATCAACGTCTTAAACAGATTCTCTACATCTCTAAGAAGAATCCACAGAAACAAAATCAGCCATACACCCCTGCCAAGAACACATAAAGGGAGCCCTGTCAATAGGGCACAAGAGCTTACGGGAGGTTCAGAAATCCTCTTCCGCAACACCTGCACCGGACCCCCATCCAGCTTGTATAGGGAGGTGCCACGGCCGTTGCTGATGGGCCTCTCGAAAAATACGCATCTTCGTGCTTCATTGCTTGTCTTCCTTCATCTCCCTGCGAGTTTGTGGTAGGTGGATTGTCCAACGCACCCCAGGGCCCAAAGCGATACAGGAGTAATGGTAATGCAGTGAAGAGCGCATCCATCAGCAGCAATAGTGAAACATCACACGACAGATCCTGCTGTGAGCTTGTAGGCTGGCTAAACAGCAGCAGCTGTAGTAAGGAGTCCACCAGCAGCAAAAGAACAAATTCTCCAGCCTGTGAGCGTTTGCAGGCGCAACCACAGAAATCATGCGCAGCATGCTTTGGTGCGGCTGGAGCTTTCGTGCTGTCCTGTTGCTCTAAGCCACCTGCCCAACTGAATACAATCCGAAATGGTGGGCAGGTTTCACGAACAGGATGGCGCACGAATCACCCTAGCTTACAGGAAGGAAGAAGAACGTGAAGGAGAGTTTGCTTGCCCCCGCTATTGCTTGGGATACCACGCGCTCTGTTGGATGTGAAACAACGCGGGACCTGCAGCGGACCATCAACACAAATTTGAATGCAAACCCTCATTTCCTGTGTTCTCCCGATCAACTCGCAGCACTCGCAGCTAAATTATTGGACACAATGACGACCTGTGTGCGTGGAGACGGTGGTTGGGCGAGCTAGTCGTTCAGCGATGTCCACCCCAACAGAAGATATCGGCGTGATTGGACCTACGCAAGCAAAGCCTTTTGAAACCCAACACCGGCCAGAACGTAGAAAATTTCCAAACCTCGAGCTAGGGGGCCGCTCGACCTCTTGCTCAGCTTCCAAGAAAACTTCGCCACGAGTTCCGATATCAGCCAAATAGCCACTAAGACCAGGACAGGCCACTGTTCCAAGAAGAAATCATCATTTCCCACAGTCAGGAAAGCCACATACTGCAACGCAAGCCAGAGGAAATAGCCTCTGTAGGAGCGGATAACAGCGGCAGGGGCAGCCATGGGGGCCACACGCAGTTGGACGGGCAGGAAGCCTCTCCGACACGATAAGAATGCTGTTCTGGATGCAGTAGGATGTGGTATGCCGAGAAGAGAATCTGTGGAAAAAAGCAGAAAAGCACCTGCTGGGGCACACATTAATGTGAGGTTGTTACTTTGAGGCGTGCCAGCACCCACGTTGGAACACGTTGGAGGTAGGGTCGTTCTCACGGCAGGGGGATTTACAACCACACAAAACCCTCCGGTGCTGCAGGAATGAGTAATGTCTGTGGTTGCAAGTCCCAGAACAACACAGAAGAAGGGAGATGATGCTACTTTATCTGGAGGGTACTGGTCTCTCCAGGTGCACCAGCAAGCAAAGAAAAAGTCAAATATCGCGTGTGCTCGTTACCCGTTGGCGTCTTTCCCCTACGCTGATAGACTTAAGTAGAATTAGAAAACACATTTTTTGTCTGCTCATTATAAGCCATACCTGTAGCAGGTCCAGTCTCGTGGAATTGTAGCACCGCTCGACAGCGTCGTTAGGTCACTTTCAACTCTGCTCGCAGACGGAACACCAATTTTCCCTCCTAGCAGTATTGATGTCCTATAAATACTGGTATTCCAAATGATAATGTTGAAGTGTGCAGGTCAAGGGCTTTCCGAACTCAGAAGGGTCTCATTGAGCGACGAGGCAAGAAGCCACGCGGAGCGGTCCAATGGTTGCTGGTCAAGCAGCGCACACCGAAACGATGGAAGAAAAGGTCATTTTTAATAGTTCGAACGCGATAATGGAAATCTGCTTGTGTGAAAGCGTATGTGAATAATCTTCATGGAGTCTACCTCCTGTCACACAAAGTAGGGTCACCCTGACCCGCTGCTTTCAAACCAAAGTGACAACAGCCAATATATGCTTTGGCTAATTTGTTTGTGGAATTTTTTCGTTCCTACTGAAGACACATCCATAAAACCAAATTAATTACCTGAAAGGTACTTTGTGCTACAGTTTCCTATAGGCGAGTTCACTTCCGCAGTGCCCTGTGCCAGCTCGGTAGCCATTATTATTTCGAGGTCCTTGAGGCTCCGTTCCCTACAGTAACTGCACCGCGCATCCAACCACCGTTTCAAGTGCATTACTCTCCTACATGATTTTTCTCAATCCTTCCTCTACAGTCTCTGTACAATATCGGTCGGCAGGTAACACGCCCGACTAGTCCCAAATTTGTCCCACTTGCGGACGTGCTTTCAGAGCAGGCTCAGTTCAAAATTCCCCATCCCCCTTCCATTCGTAGTTCCACACAAAGAGAGAGTGTTCTATGTCATTAATGTTATTGTGAACCCCGCTTGGGGTTTAGTCGACTATATCCAGCATTCAGTAAAAAGAGGAGAGATATCATCAATTTCTTTCATCTTCTAATTGCTCTGTTGCTGTTCACTTAGCATTAAACTACTACAGTGGTTGGCGTACTGGTGACAGTGTTCTCTCTCTCATTCCCATTTGCGGTGAAATTGTCAAGTCCCGCCCACCACTGTTCCCACCTCAGTCGGCCACACGTTCATGCTTATGCTGCTCAGTATGCCTACAACAAAGCGATTGGTGTATGGATATCAAGTGTAATACACAATTAACGCTGGTGCAGTGCCTGCTGCTCTGCACTGGCGAAAGTTCACCAGTGTTAAGCTATGTCACTCGCTGTGATTAGTTGTTTCTTAGCATAGAGTGCTCTGGCCACCTTGCCCCCACCCCTTTGTAGCGAATACTTATTAGCTGAGCCGATATTACGCCTGGTAGTTGGGAGGCTGAAGGCTTCCAGGCGTGCAACGAGTCTACATTGAAGATACAGAGGAATTTCCGTTCAACCCTCAAAATGTTCGTGAAGAATTCATGCTTCGAGAGGATAGATAGCGTGTCAACCGGGGAGTAAATTCACCGTTTGTCAACCGGAGAATAAATTCGCCAAACGTGGGCAAGCCCTGGGTAAGTCACTTTCCTCTTTTTTCTATGCTCAACGCGTTAATACAAAATTTTAGGTGACACTAATTGGGATATGGCGCTGTATTGCAGGTGTCTTCTCCAGCCGGAAGCAAGGAGTTCCTGGGCACGCTTATAGTATCGTCAAAGACAAACTTCTGAATGAATGGAGTAGCTAACCTAGTGCGGCCCACAACCTGTGAAGACTGTTCAACTATCGCGGGTACACAAATGTCCGTATCTGCGTACCCCAACATCTTCTGCTCTAGTTATTCTTCTGCCACATTTTGAGTTCCACCCTAACTTTTTCAAGCTGCTGCCACCACAGCCGTCCAGCCGACGGCACTCTCCTAGTCTTACTGTAGGCATGCCCTGCTATTGGGGAAGGCCCGCCTTTCCATGTACGTTGCGCTGTCACGCTGCGCATGGAACCGTGGCTCTTGTGTATTTTGTTCATAGTTGGATTTGTTACAGAAAGCCATAGGTACCGTATAGCTCATGTTCATCTGAAAGATTCGGCTAAGGAGCTAGCCCACTCCGTTGTCTTTTGCAGGCCTGAACCAGCCACATGCCCATGGCAGCTGCAGCAACAGCAAATAATGGCAACAGCTGCAGCAGTCCGAAACCCTTCATTTCATTTCAATTTGTTCTGCTGTGCCCACTGCGCCAGCCTGTAAAGAGCTCATGCTCGCACACCTAGCGGCTAGTTCACCATTGACTCTGTGACGATACAATAACTGCATCAAGGCGCATCCTACATCTAAACTATAACGTTATAAAAGGGGAAACGTGGCATTTCGGAGAACGCTCGCTCCGTAGAGCTCACATCCTCTGGTACGCGAACAACAACCGAGGTCCAGCACACGGCACACTCAATATGCAGAAGAGTGCGGCTGACCCACTATTGGAGTTGTTCGAATAATGGGTTTCCTTGTTTGAAGATACAAACATGTTTATTTAAATTCACATCTAAATTATCGTTGCCAGCCTCGTCCAAGGCGAATTCAACAGCTGCGTTGCATCAGCTAAGCCCCCAAGCCCCAAAGCTTCAAAGCCCCAAAATCTCGTGCTATTGTGGAACCTTCACACTGGGTAATACAGATTACCCGCAAATCGTCTACTGTTAATCATATATGCTTGCTACTGCACGTTTGTGGAAGGCTTTGGGGGGAGCAGATGGAAGGACTCCCGTGAGCATCCTGTTAGCCCCAGCATTTCCACCAGGGTTCGCTGATGACATCGCCTCTCCTCCTTGCAGATTGGCAAGTGCTCGGTAAGAAGCAAAGGTGTGTGTGTTATGGACTATTGGTAGCGAAGGCTTAGTAGCAGATCCTTGCATCGGGAATTAAACATAGGTGGGGCTGCTTCGCTTTTCTGAGAGCGTATCGCTACGTTATGAGGGTGGCCACGTCGCCTGCAAGCAAGACATGGAAAATCCCATGCTGTCTGGAGGGTCAATTCACGAAGCACTAGGAATCTGCGTCGTTATTGCTTGCGATTTACTGCCAAGACATTTACTGCAGGGTGGCCAAATCGAGCAACGCAGTAGTTCCGTCTGTAGTGATGAGCCGAACGGATGTCCTGGCGGCCATACCACAGTCTGATGGCGATACCGTTGGCGTAGTATTTACTTGGCTACGAAAAACATGCAAGGCGACAGACAACCCACCTGGCTTTTCGCATGAAGACGTCCAGCCACACATATATATTTGAGAGCACTTTCCCACCTGTTAGGGATTCGCTCACTTGCTGAATACTTCGCAAGTTACTAGTCTGGTTCTGTGAGGCAAATGGCCTACACCCGGCAGTGGACTCCCGGCACCGTTGCCAGTGTAGGGATGGTAGGGCAACGGCGACACATTTCTTGGTGCATGCTCGTTTCACTGCTTGGATATTTTTGGTTCCTTGTGGGGCACTTTAAGAGTACAGAGAAGCAGCATGCCTCGGGTTCAGTTGTTGTGGCAGTGGGAGCTCCTGCGCCTGATAAAGGGACGCTCACAGCTTCCGAAGCGCTGGCCCACACACTGAAACTGCTAAATCCTTCTTCACAAACAGTCCGTGCCTTGGCGGCGACGGAAAAAGAGAAGGTTAAGTCAGAGCAGAGGCCGATACCCATTTGCTCCCAATCTAAGTACCTCTGCCAAGTCTACAGTTTGCATGGCCCTCCGCCAGATGGCCATCGCGTAGCTGCTACTCGAAGAAACTGGCCGAATGGCGTTCATGAAGTGGAAGAGAGGAGCTCAGTTCGAGGCATTCGATCCTCCATTAGATTACGGCGGCTAGCAAGTATACCCTTCAAGATATCGAAGCCTCCACGGCACGCGACAACGAACGCACAGAAGCGCAGCGAACGACCTGGGGCAGCGGCACACGAGAACCCAGTTATAGTTGAAAGCCTGCCTATTAAGATCCCTAGTTTCACTCAGGTGCCGCAAACAAGCCCCCGTGGAGGGTTGTTTCTACCTCTACGGCTTCGAGCATTTTTTTCCGACTTTCCTCTCTCACCAGATGATAATGGTTCGCATGGTTTGAGTAATTGGCGGGGGCACACACCGGCAGGAAGGGATAGAGGAGGGGCGCAGGGTGCTACGTCTGGGGATTCCTCACATGAAGAGCAACCAGCCGCTAACTTTGTATATTACAGCGGCAGTGACAATGGAGCGATGAAGAGGCAGCACGTTGCAGAGCGGCTTAATGATGTTACACGTTTCTTCCAACTTGAAGTCGTCCCCGCTGCCATCTGGTGGCTTCAGCGTATAGCTACTGTTGATAGGTTGCTTGGGCCGTTGGTAATCAAGCTTCAGGAGACGATGGACGACCAGTACGTTTCCTTGCAGGCCAGCGCAGAGCAAAGTACTTTCTGCTGTATGTTGAGGTCTTTGGCAACGGATCATGTGCGGAAATATTGCACTGAAAAGTTCAGTCTACTAATGGAGGACGAAATGCCTTGGAGGTTTTTTGTGCAGGCCAAATAAATCAGGCCAGTGTGGCATGTGCCAAATGCCCCAGCTGCGGCGTCTGCAGGGTACGACGGGAAATCCGTTGCTTGGGATAGTTGAAGACGCCGACGTTGTGTTGTTGTTCCGCACTGCAGAAAATTCAGAGGAGAGCACGCGTACGTTTGCCATGATGGATGCATTAAAGGCAGCAAAGTTGTCATTGCTTCACGTCAGTGCTGACCTCCATCTCTAGAAAGAGTTAAGCAAAAAACGATTATCCCTGCCCATCCAGAAGCTCCAACTTGGACCAGCCTGTCCTGTTTAACGGGTGAGGCAGGATTAGCAGCGCTACAGCTTCGAATAATGATGCAATTTATCTCTGCAGATGTCTGCCAAGTTGACGAGAACTATCGTCCAATTCTTGCTTGCATATCGATTCCCTATGCCGAGGTCGAAGGATTCTATGCCAGAAGAAATACTTCCCTCTCTCTGGCTGTGCAGAGAGTTCTTACGTACATTATCAGTGCGGTTGCTGTTAACATTCAAACTCTGGGTTATTTCCTAACGTGGGACACAACATGGAGACAAGAGGCACTCAGGCAAGCTTTTCAAATGCCCAAGTGTTCTACCTGCGTATTGCTCTAGGCTAGACTGCCACTAGGCTGAGGCCTGCTGCGAAACGCTCTCTGCGCTCACAACAGAGACTTCCGAATGGAACCTAAGAAAAAGAGCAACACCCAGCTTCACAATAGAATGGTGTTCTCAGCTGTGCTGATCCTTTTATACAGAAGGCTTCGTAACTCTAGTGGCCCAGGGCCAGTTGCCTTTATTCATGCCCTCACGAAAATTTCAACACCGACGACAGATCTACCAGATATCCAAAAAGGGGGCGAGGATTTGCAAGCAACAGCTACTTCACCACGAAAACGAATCATGGAACACACGCAGCATCGCTTTTATCTCACAACTCCGAGGGTGACGAATGCAATTCATCATCACTGCGTCTACACGAATGTAGCCGGCATAGAAGTAACGTTAAACAACTCAGGCCCGAGCTGTGAGTAGGTCGATTTTCTGTAAACAGAAGCCAGGTGTAATGGAATGTAGAGCTCCTTTCCTGCCGTAGTGCACTTGTGTACTATATACCGTGTGTCTTCGCAGACAAAGAGCTTGCTGGGAAAGTTCAGTGACTACGTTAGCCGCAACTTTCGGTCCCAATAACGAAAGGTTAACTTTCCCAATACTGCCTGTCAGTTGATGGATCCTTGTTTCAAATCCGCATGCGCTGTCTGCAGTTCTACAGCCTCCCTGTGGGTGTGGCAGATTGACAGGCAGCTACTGTTGGAAAGGTGAGCAATAAATAGCATCGCTTCATCCACACATAGTGCAAAGTGTTGCTAGGTGATACCTTGTTTTCTTAGGGCAGCTTCATGACAAGTTCTTCGGAAACAATATTTTGTTTTGTGCCAGAAGAACTTCCCATTGAGCTACGTCTAGTTGCAATGGAGGATACAGGATGGTATCTGACTGACACCATCTGGTCCCCTGACACACTCGCGTAAGGCCCGTGGCGCACACAATGTTTCCGGATAATTTCCCCCTGCTTGACATCGTGAACCTTCTATATATGAACTAGAGATTTTGTCGGGGAGGTGATTTTGCTGTAGCAAGCGTGCTTGCAGTGCAAAACCAGCAGTTCCAGACAACTAAGGATACCTACTAAGTGTTGGGATCCCTAGGGCAGCCTTCTCTCGTTGACAGGTCAAAATATGTGGAAGAATTGAACCGTTATTTAGGAGTCTTAGAAACAGGGAATCCCAATAGGGGAGTGGCGGATAGAAGACCCAAGGCATTGCAGAAAATTTTCCTGGACAACGCCGAATACGAACAGTGAGGGGGTAAACTCGTGGGCACACCAAACTGTAAAGGTCTGCGATCGTGTGTTGTGTGAACCAGAGCATTCCAGCCTAATGCAGTGTATTCCGGCTTATGTGATGCAAATTGTGCTTCAATGTGCTGTGGGTTGCGTAACTGGAGCAGCTGTGTAAAAATGATGATGACGCTTTCTCGTCGCGAAGGCGCATGCCACAGAATCATGTGTGTTTCGGACGACGACAGAGTAGAGGCACCCATGATGCTGCCGACGTCGAAGCCTGTTAAATGGGTTGCCGCTCAAGTAATAAGTAGACTGCCAAATGGCACTGAGAAAACGACAGGGTGTATGAGGGGTGAAAAGGGGCAGGAGAAACAAGTACCAGGGCTACCTTTTGGAATAATTCAGTGCCCCGATGTAGATCTCGTCTGCCAAGGACGGCCCTGCAAAAATGGAGGTGTTCCGAAATATGGAATGTGAGAACCGCGCAAGCACACCAAAATTTCCTTGGCGTTTTCACCCGGTATATTTCGACTCTGTAGATGCCTTTACTCCGCATATAACGATGTGTTGTGTACTGTCTCGTTCTGAAGCTGCTTTTGCAAGCCTGGCACCTTCGGAAGGAACTGCGAATATCTCGACACGGAGAGGAACCGACTGAGGTATCCCAATCGTTTTTCTTACGCGCCCAATGCAAGCATCACTGTTCTTAAGGGGAACTTCTTCTCAATTCCTGCCTTCGTGGACGGGCCACATCACCTGAACTTCAAACCGATTTCGTAAGCTAGTGCTACACTTAAGGAACACCTCTGTCAAGATAGAATCGCAGTTCTTGCGTTGTTGCAGTTGCCTTGGTTAATGCGTGTTTATTCAATTACCACGTATGTGCTTCTTCGGGTGGATTTCAGGAAGTTGCCTCCCGGTGTGGCGATCGACCAGCGCACAGGCGCTATATTTGGGACTCCAGTTACAATAACTAAAGGTGTGCAAATCATAAACGAGAATCTAAAACACTGCCTAATCTTTCAAGCACTATTAGTGTTTTATATTCACGTGGGTCGGTATGTCACTGCATTTCACTATAGATGCCATCACCGAAGCTAACAACTCACATACAGCCTATGTGGTCGGCATCTCCTTGTATGTTAGGGTGCATACCTCTGGCAATAGAAGTACAGATGCGGGAAATGCCACATGCAGCAGAACGAACTTTAGTCCGAATACACGTGGTTGAGCACATGCTGGCCCAAGGCAGACGCGCAACATTCTCGAAGATTGATGACTTGCCACTTAACCCAGGCCCACGGCGTGGTTCCTCAGCACCGTTTCTTAATGAGGGTGCCGGTGAACAGTATACAAGCGAAACAGGCAAAATGGATTTAACTGACTGGAATGTAGAGATTCCACGCGACTGTGAGCGATATGTAGATGGAGACATGCGAAGACAAACTGAACCCCACACAGGTGGATGAATATGCACAAAGGGCGTTCAGTTACAAGTATTAGGCTCCTGCTTTTGCACGCTGGAGAATCGCCACAACCAACACTCCTGATTCAGCAGCAAAGTTGGCGTTGCTGATCTATGCATCCCGTAAAACACATTCAAATGTTCTTGCTAGAAAATGCGAGTTAGCCGGTTTATCCCGGCCGTCTCCAAAACGCTACGTTAGCAAAATCCCCGGTAAGCCATAGGGCGACTGAGAGTCCCGGGACCACCCATGCATGGGCTGCCAATGAAATATCGTTGCAAAAATCAATGAATGTGGCGTAAAAGGATATTTATTTACCTGTCTGTTCTGCCGTCAAAAAGCACCGCAACATGTGTGACTCACCTTCGGCTACCTCAAAGCTCTACAGACGGCTAACGCTGCTAGATCAAAGCTAGCGCCTGAAAAAACTGTGTTTCACTCGAGATCTATAAACTTGTAGTAGTTGAGTGTATTAGCATGCGGCACATGATCAATGCTGTTGTAGAACTGGTCCAGTCCAAATACAGTGCAAACCTTTGCTGTCGAATTCGCTGCGACCAAATCGCGCTTGAGATTTGCATCGCTATCCTACGAAGAGACAGCAATGGCAAACAAAACGCAGGGTCATGTTTACATAATGCTGCATACCACTGCATGGGACTGATCAATACTAACAGCCAAAAACACGAATGATAGAGTTGGAAATGCATGGCCTAAGGTGAACAAACCCGCGCAGTCATTTCCTGAAGGGTAAACTTTATTGACTGGTAAGGGGCTCCGCACAGGACTGCCTGCATGCGCAAACACGTTACAGGGGGTACAGCTGAAACGTAGCTACGGACTGCTATCAAGGTAAAACAGCCCGAAGGAGGGTACAATCTTGGCTTGGTTTGTGGGATGCTATTCCTACAGATACGTGCTGAAAGCCTGTGGAATGCATAGGCAGCAGCACCATTTAACACAACATACACGCTTTATGTAGTCCTGAAGAACCGTTGTACGAGGGAAAGAGCAGCTAGCTGTGGCATCAGCCTCATATTCCTTGTAAGCAAATAATGACGGATCCCACATGGCTCCTCTGGCAAACATCAGGCTCCTTATGCCAAATGCTTCCTGCATCGATACAAGGCCACAGCAAGATAAGCTGTCTAGAAACTTCCACACCTGTACTTTATAACAAGAGTATGAACATCCCCTATTTCACCAGAAAACAGGCGTCTGCAAACTACACATACTTGGAAACGAGTTGCATCTTCAGCCGACAGAAAGTCCCCATTGGCGATTAGTGGAATATTAAGGGCGCTTTTCAAAATCTGCGTTTGCATGAGGTAGAAAGCGTGCGCTAAGCTGAATATTATCTTCATCCTGGGAGCTCGGTAGAAGCGCCGACTTCGAAATGTCACTAATTGCAATGGAAGACTTTCGCTTCCACGGGACAACTAAAAAGTCTGCGTCCGGTTGATAAGGCTAACCCTAACCCTAAACAACTTGCTTTTGATGCACGTCTTACGGGGCAGCTGCCGATTTGCGAACGCTGACGAAAGCTATACACATATACCCAATTGCCGTGATATTGGCTCCACTACTACAAAATAAGTCGACAGGTGTCTTACCGGAAAAGCTTGCCAGTTTGCTCTGTGAGCCGGTCGTTCGTGGCGTTTCTGTAGAAACAAATGAAGAGTGGAAGCAGGTCTGCAATTCACTTGGCAGCCCTAACGCCTTGGATATTTGTACTCAGCCTACAGAAGTGCAGGACTAGAGCTGTTGCCAAGGCACAATGGTCTAAGCATACTCTTGCATGAACTGCAATCGCCGTTATCCCAGTACTTTCGCATTTTCGTGCGAAGTCAACTGTCTGAATCCAAATAACACAACCAGCGACACATCGCAGTAGGCAAGTGTTCTGGACGTTGGGGCCAAGAGGGAAGTTCCAATTTGGATGAAAGATAATCTGTGGTATCGATTTGTTGCTGCTAGGCACAATATGCTGCATTGAGATGGCGGAAATTTGGTAAGCTCTAGCAAAGTGCCACTCTAATATCGTACCTCTTCCATTGTTTCCAGCAGGCGGATTTTACACGTCACCGGGCAAGTAAGATTCCGAGTTAGTGTCTTCAGGATATCCATTGCCAAGTCTGGCGTTTGAAGCAACGCCGCACCCATGCCACCTTTGACCCTACCACGCAAGGGCGCATACAGGGACGTTTTGCATATCAAAGCAGGCGAGGTGTGGAATCATAAGAATACGGTAAAAGTATTATAGGTTTGGAAGGCACGGATTTGTCGTTCGCCTGGTTATGAAGGGTCTCGATGATTGGTAACGCTCGCAGGGAACGCCTTTGCTGGTGAGGCTTGACTACCAATGGGCTTAGCGTACGAAAAGCTCTTAGGACACCCCATATTTACATCTACCGCCGAAATGTCCTGCGAGAAGCCAAAAACGACACTATCACCAAACGTGGTACTCTGTGCTGAAGCACTGTAAAAAACCTGCACGAAAAAGGGGTTTGGGGAAAGGCGCACTAGAAAACAACCCCAAATACATACCTGCATAGCAATAGTTGCAGCCTGCAGGGCGCGCGCCGGATCTGCTGTCCCGAGCTGCAGAACTACTTTGCCTTTCTCAAGGTCGCAAGTGGAGAAAACACACCGTCTATCGTTCTTGTGGATATATTCTACAGCAACAATCAGCATCGAGCAAAACCACAAAATGAGGACCCTCTAGAAACATAGAAAAGAATCAGTGAGTTTTGGAGATTTTCTTCCAAGCAATGCAAGCAGCAAACGTATGGAAAATGGCACGTGAAAGTTGCGTTGCATTGGTACACACTTACCGACGGTGCCAAAATCCTTATTAATGTACCGTTTTGAATCGATGAGCTTCCTGTCCACTATTTCTTCTGAGTAAACGATGTCTGCTCCGCGCACACAAAAGATGGTTTGTGTAGGCTAACCCTCAGGCACCAGGGTCCGGATGAATGCTCCTTCTACCTATTTCTGGAGTAAGTCGCGTTCCTAACCTCACCTGCGCCGTATTTGAGGCATTCTAGCCGGAATGGCAATGTGCTTATCCGCACCATGGGGGCGAGAATCCAGGCAGATTGATATATTTCGGAAGGGTTGGTGGAGGGAGGGTGTGACTTCTCCCCCGAGGCTTCAACGGAGGAAGACCCGTTGAGCACACCCTCATGTGAGCAAGTATTATGACAATCCTTCGGCAAAGCTACGGACACCCCTGGCTTCTCCAACTGTAGTTCTTCGTCTTGATTCTTGACAGCCTTCGTCGCTTCTGTGGTTACTGCCTCACCATTTGTCGGCGCAGGCGCTGTTCTGGGGAATTTTACAGGCCTAGGCTGTAGGCCAGAGGTTTGGTCTCCTCCACTATCAAGTATATACGAAGCCCCTTCTCCATCAGCAACGTCAACAGTAGCCCCTTCCGGTTCTTTAATAGCAGTGGTATGTGGCGCATGCCTCTTCCTCAGGTGGCGTTCTACGTCTTCCGTATCGTTCAAAATACTTTCGGAAGAGCCATTTTCTGATTGTGTGCCTTCGACTATACTAACATTACTGCCATCTTCGATTATGGGTGCTTGGGGGGCTAGACGGTCGAGCTCCTCATCTGTCTTTGCCTCACACGCGCCTGCGAAGGGCTCACGAGCTGTTGATTCGCCAGATTCAGCCACAGGTGAGCTCTGTTGACCGGTTACTGGACCATCCAACTCTCTGCCCTCACGGGTAGGGCTTTTAGAGGCCGTACAAGACATTCCAGGCCATCCACCCAGCCTTGCAGGATATTTACACAGTCTTCCCCGGGTTGCTTGTTTGTCTGCTCCTTTGCAGAGTGGGGCGTAGAAAGGGAGAGGATGAAACAGAAATAGTAATGTTTAGCTGCAATTACAGCGACGATTCTCCTGTACCTACATTTATGGCGTGGTACGTGCTCAATGAGCCCCAAGACAATGCTGGAGCCGTTCCATATCCTTAAAAGCTTTCCAGGAAATCCAATGCGCTTTCAAAAGTTAAATTTGCTATATGTCAGGCTTGTTGCCATAAACAAATATGCGGAGATGGGGACTGGGTAGGACGATTGTAGCCGATTGTGGGCCGATTGGCGCCTGCGGATCCTTGCACGTGTGGCTTGGCTCTGCGCAACACGTCGATATAGTACGAAGCGTAGCTCTTGAAATCGTATGCCAAACTCAATGCTTTTTGCTATTTCATTCTCTCTACGAATTTTTTTACTCAGACTGGGCTCCTTTCGAAGTGTAGCTTGCAGCGGCTGGTTGCAGGCCCCGTATAAGCCCTTTTAGAACTCTGCCTCGGCACGTGGCAAGTGGTGTATTTGCCCTACCCGTAGAAACACATTCACCTTGATCGGATACTAATAGCGTCGCAATTAACGGGGATGATTATATCACAGTGCCTTCTACCCTGCCTGTGGCGGCTGCAGTTCGAACTATCCGGTAACCGTTGTCATTCCACAAATTATACTGCTCAGTAGAAATGAATCCTATGTTCTATAACCTGTTAACTATTCGTTTGCTCCGATATCATTTCCCCCGTTTACCTTTAGGACGCTTCCTTCGCCCCTGCATAGATCGCCTCCTCGTCAGGGAAGCCTGGAACGTGGTCTCGTGTTACTGATGCTAGCCGCTTGACTCAAACAAGACAACACTGCTTCTCTGTTTCGTTTCTGCCGCGCTTTACCAAACCCCTGCAACCCCTCCACAAACCTAACTCCACAGGGTTGGAGAGTCTGAACCAACAAGCAAGACTTGCGAGTATAAATGACCTGCCCACGCCGGATTGTAGAAAGACCAGGTGTTTAGCATCACCGCCAAACAACTGGTTGGCTAGACGCCAGAGGTGGCGGTGAGCTGAGGTACGGTAAAAAGAAGAGCAGAAACAGTCCGCCTCGGCTGAGCAGTAACAGAAGGGAACAGCAATTCAATACAGCCATCTTCAGGAATGGCAGGGGCATCCCAGGGCGTACCTAGGTTGGACGAAACGGGTGGGGTGGGGGGTGGGAGGATAACGGCTGTGGATAGCGCATATGCCTCCCTGCATTGGCAAGCCTGTATGAAGTTAGCGCAGGGGCCCTCCTAAGTAGGCAACCGATAAGCAAGCAGAATGCTCTAGTACAACCAAGAAGGATAGGTTCGGCTTGCATGCGGGACTGTCTTGTACCTTGAGTCGCAACAAGGTTCGCTGCAGCTACTCTCTTACCGCCCTCTCTCCCGAAGTTTCAGGCGCTTAGACAGCGGTAACCAGGACGTCTGATATATATATTTTATAAATATAAATATAAATAATAAAAATATAAGCATAATTTCTTAACGCACTTATATAAATAGTCACATACGTTATATACTGTTACTTAGTTATATACACAAATATAAAAATAAAGGGATAAAATAAAGAAGCAATCAAGTAATGCTGCTCTCGCAGGTGCTGCTGCAGAAGCAGAAACAGCAGCAGTTGCAGCAGCGGATAACAACACCTGCATTTGCAACACTGGTGCAGTATCATCTAACATAGTACAGCACCTGGAGCAGCAGTTGCATCAACAGCTAAAGCAAAGGCTGCAGCACAGGCAGCAGCAAAAGCAGGTTATGAGGGACCGGGGAAACCTCCGCTTGCGAGGGTTTGCTGCTCCTGCTGCTGCTCCTTCTGTTTTTGCTGTTGCTGCCGCTGCTCATGCATAAGGATGATTTTAGCTGCTTCATTGCCTGCCGTTATTCTGTCTCCAACTGCAACACCACTAACCCATCCTCCTTCAAGCAGCAGCAAACTTGAGGGGAATTGCTGCTTCTGCAGCTGCTGCAGCTCGTTATTTATTGCCCTTCGGGTGTCTCTGTAGCTAAGGGAAAGTGTGGGGATGGTCTCCTCCCATAGATGTACACCTAATACTCTGTATAAATATGTCACACTGTCTCCTGCCTCCTTTACAGACACAGAACCACCAGCAAATGGCGCCTTAGCAGCAGGTGTCTCCGTGGAGAGAGTTACTTTATGTTTGTTGCTATTCGTCTCCTCTTGTATAAAATGGAGATTCATATTTGCATGTATTTTCTTTATGTCTTTTAATACCTTGTCAACTACATATTTCTCCTCATCTGCTGTTGCTGCTTTTTCACCTGCTGTTGTTGTTGCTGCTGCTGCTCGAGGAGGGGACTTAACAAAGGCAGTTAATACCTCATACCCTGGAGGTGCTCTTCCCTTAAAGAGACGGGAGATACTCAGGGCCCCAAGTGTCTCCCATCCATCTTTTGCCTCATAAGGAGACACTAGAAAACCAAACCCTGGGGGTGTTAACAGGGCCCCCTCACCAGCAGCAGCAGGTGCAGCAGCCGCAGGTCGCAGGGCAATTGTAACCACGGTAACACTAGAAAACGGCAGGGCATTTAGCTGCTGCACTGCTGCAGCACTAAGGATAGGCTGTATTACCTCCTGTTGAGGGTCAGAGAGGCGCCCCGCTGACTCCGCTGGGGGCATCCCTGACCCCCCTGTGGGGCTCCCTAGATCCCCTGGAGGCCCCCCTGGGGCTGATCTCTTTCTGTGGATCCCCGCGCACTCCACTGGGGGGCTCGCCTCAGTGGGGGGACCTAGCAGACGGGCTACTTCTTTCGGGTTTACAGTAAGGAGTACATGTTTAGCTAAGATGGAGGTGTCTCCTTTAGGAGAGGAGACAGTTGCTAAGAAACCAATTGTCTCCTTTCGTCTCTTAGAGAGGAGATGAAGAGACATCAGACGGCTCTGCAACAGCACGTTGCTGCTGCCTACAGCAGCAAACAAACCATTGGTCAACTCCTGCATGCCACCTAAGAAGGAAGCAACAAGGGGGGCCCCCCGGGCTCCTGCAGGGGCCCACTGCTGCTGCTCTCTCCCGCTGCTGCTGCTATTGCTTGCTGCTGGTAGTTTTGGCCCTTTCAGTTGCTTGTTGTTAATAAAGGGTACAGAGGAAAGGGCCCTTTTAATTCCTTTATTAAGGAGACACTTATTGATAGCATTGCAAATAAAAGGACGAATAAGTCCCTTATTTAGGAGACACTTACTAATAAAATAACGAATAAGACCCTTATCAAGGAGAAGTTTAAGAGAAGGAAAAGCTAGAGACATACAAAGTGCTGCAGCAGGACAAGCATAAATACCTATTGTCATATTATTTATTATATTTCTTGCCGTCTCCTCTCCTAATACTTTTGTTATGTAATCCTCAACTGAAAGGTCATCCAAATCCTGCTGCTGCTGCTGCTGCTGTTGCTGTTGCAGAATGCGAGAAACAGCAGCAGGAAGCCATGGTTTAGCCCCTAAGAGGAGACCACGGAGACACTTTATTTTAGCAAGAGGAGACAAAAGATCGGTACGAAGAAAAGATGTAATTGTATTAGGTAATTGAATAAGGTGTCCCTTTACAGCAGCAAAACGAGGAGCTCCATGTGGGGCCAGCAGCAAGCTCTGCTGCAGCTGCAGCAACTGCAGCAGCTGCTGCAGCTCTTCGGTAAGACGAAAGCTGTTAGCCCCACAGTCCCATAGAAAACCACCGCATGCAGAGCGACGACTTCTTATACAACCCCCTACCTCAGCAGCAGCTTCTACAACACAAACGGAGAGATTACGCCCTATTATACACTCCTGCTTCTCCTTTTGCCGCTGTTGTTGCTGCTGCAGGCGCTGCTGCAGGCGCTGCAACGCATACGCCGCAGATAGACCAGTTAAGCCACCCCCCACTATCAATACATCTACTTGCAGGGGCCCCAGGGGGCCATCTTGCGTGCATGGTAGGGAACTGTTAGATTCCGCAGCAGCAATAGCAGCAAATGCTGCTGTTGCTGCTGGTGCTGCTGTTGTTGCACTTGACGCTGTTGTTGCTGCTGCAGGGATCGACAGGTGCCGCAGACGATCCGCCGAGGAGCGACCCCTCCCTAAACCCCTGCACACCGCAGCAGGCCGCTGCAAATACACAAGAAACATCGTTAACAGAGAATTGCAGTTGCTATTGCTGCTGCTGTTGCTGCTGCTGCTGCTGCTTGAGCCATGAGTCGCTTGCGCGCAGGATCCCCCGTCACGGAGAAGCGGCCACGGATAAATGAAAACCACCGCTTTTGCTGTATGTCTATTTGCTCAAAAAATACAAAATAGTATTATTTAACCAAGAATAAGTATAAAAATACGGGGGAAAAGGAAAAAGAATTCTCTGTTCTCTGCTCACGGTGTATCTCCTACTACACCGCAGCTGAACATAGACCGCAGCTAAAAACAAGAAAAAACATTTTTAAGTCATTGTGTTCAGTAAATGAAACATTTCAAAGAATTATCATTTACCGTGGGGTCAATCCCACGGATCCCCGGATGGGTCGCAGTTCTACAGGCTAGCGAGGCGGCAGCGCTCGAGGCCCCCAGGGTAGGGCCCCAGGGGGCCCCAAGGGCGCCCCTGCAAAGTAAAAAGACTGTGGAGATTAGATTTATAAAAAGGGAAGTTAAAATACATAGAATAAATAAATAACCATAATTTTAAAATTTAAAAATAAACATGTCTTCCTCTTTTTTGTTAGTGTCTACTTGCATGGCAGTAAGTAATGCTTCCAATACATTGCTGCTTTTTTGCTGCTTCCCCTTTAGCGGCTCGTCTTTTATAGTTAAGAACAAGGAAAAGAAGAAAAAGAAGAGGACTTCTATCCTTTAGTAAAAAAGCGAATATAATGTGAATATAATATATTGTATAGCATCAAAATAAATCTAAAGTATTAGTCACAATTAGTCGCAACTGTCTCGTGACCACTACAGCGGTGCACGAGCACTATAATAGGCCCTCTGCTGAGTCGATGACACATCACAAAGTACAATATAAAGATGCACACTGATATAAAGAATTATTTATTTTTTAATAGGGTGTTTTAGAGCATTATTGTGTCTATTGACCAACTCGTGTCTACACCCTATAGAACATGGGGCTGTCTAACTGGTAACGCTTGCCTCTTAGCGGGTGAGACTAGACACGCGGCACTTCCTCTCTTTGAGGGAGGGGGTGGGATGGAGATCTTTTAAGAAAAAGGTTTTTTAAACCTTTAACAATTCGGTAATGGTATTTTAAGGATTATTAGAGTAGTATTCGTAGCGTTCTGTACTAGTTTTGCTGTGCACACCTAAGTTGCGCAGGTCAAAGATTCATGTAGCCAGGTGACTGGGCTGGTCAATGCAACAGGACTGCTACTGTTGCTCCTTGTGGTAGAGGACGTCGAGGCAATTTAAATGCCTTTAATATCCCAAGTTTATCAGGAAATAAAAGACAAATAAAACTAATTCTTTAAAAATGAAGAAATGGTGCTTTTTCCCCCATTTGATTCTTTTTCCTCGACAGACACCCCGCAGCTGCCGTGAAACCCGGCAGTGGTGTGTGCCAATTCGCCTGTTTAGACAATCAAACTATCCATAATCTTAGGTTATTCCTCAATAAAGAATATATAATTGAAATTTATTAAGGCTTCTAGAGAGAAATGGCTAAAAACCATCTTTATACCGCCCCCGTACACTGGCGATCTCCTATGCAGGCGCGGCACCTTGTGCTAGTAGACAGCGTGTAAAACCCGCCATCCTATGCATACAACCAGTTACTAGAGACGACCCTCAACACTAAATCATTGATTAGTATATTTTATGTGTTTTATTTACAATTTAAACTCTTTTCTGTCGTTAAATGCTTCCTTTTAGAAATATAGTGGCATCATCGTGTATGAGCGCCGCCATCGTAGCTTTTCCTCTGGACCTACACGGTGTGTTGTTTGTTTGTTGTATAAATAACAGCCCCATTACCTGAAGGAGAGAAGATAGAAAGAAAACAAACTCGTTTTATGATATTTAGTTGAATTTATGATATTTAGTCGAAGGAAAGTATTATATTGATGCATTTTGAATACTTTTGACATCCCTTTGTCCTAGTGTTAAACCGTCATTGTCTCCCGCTTTCCTGTTGCCTTCTTTAAGTGTATCAACAGCAGATATTGTAATAAGCAGCAGGAGGTAATAAAAAGAAGAGAAAATGAGTAGAAGATGCATTATTGCACTAACGGAAAATAAAGTAGATCTTTCTTTGTTTCCTGTTGCTACTGTAGAGAACTCTATTTCTTCTCTTCCTCCTCCTTTAAGTCAGGTTATTCTTCCTCGTTTTGTACAACATGTGAGGGAAAACTTTCCTTCTTTTGATGTCATTCCTTGTTGTTGCATTATGGACTTTAAAGATAAAGAAGAGGAATTAAATATGGTATATACTGTACCTTAGCTTCCTGAACAAAGGAGACACGTGTACTGTTCAAACACCGCAGCAGCAAACATGCTATTAGTTAGATTGTCATCATTATCCTCCCATAATAGTAATAAATAAGTATTATTATCATTACTATAAAGTATAAGTATAAAGTATTATATTGATCCCTATGTATATATTTTTCTATCTATTGCTATATGTTATATATGCATCAACGGGTTGATTTTTTCTTTACAGGCGGAGATTATCTTCATGATAGACGCTCCTCCTTCTTTGCTTTCTCATTTATTACCAATGGCAAAGAATATAAAATGGATACATAGTTATTTAGCTGGTGTAGATGGGCTTTGTAACGAGTTACGTGGGCTGTATAGACAGGTCCCTATTCCCCCTACATTATTAGTGACAAATAATAAAGGGGTATTTTCTTCTTCTCTTAAAGAATATACCATAGCTGCTATTATGCACTTTGCTAAACAAATAAATAGATTGCAGTTAAATAAACAAAATAAAAAGTGGGAAAGATTTATAATGGGGGAAATTAAAGGAAAGACTGTAGGCTTTATTGGCTATGGAGACATCGCTAAGGATATTGCTAATGCATGCAATGTACATACACCACAAATTATCCCTTATAAAGATATTCAATTATAAATATTCATTATAAATATATTTATCTGCTCCTCCTCCCCCTATTCCTTTGTTTTCTTGTTGTCTCTTGTCTGCTCTATTTCTCGTCGGCTTGTTTGGCATTGTTGCTTGCTTCCTCTTTCTTACTTGTCGGTTTGTCTGTCTCTTATTATTGTTTCTTTTGTTGTGTCCCTTATTGCTGCTGTTGTTTTTTTTGTTGTGTGTCCTATTATTGTTTTTTAATACTTCTGTTGTTGTGTATTTCTTATTGTATATTATTTATTATTAACTCTTAATTTTTGTTGCTAGCTCTTGTGTTGTGGTTTATTTGCTTTTTAGGCCCTCGGCATGCGTTGCGTTGCTCTCCGCAGAGACGGAAGAAAGAAATGTGATTTATTAGAAAAAGTTTTTGGTTATTCAGGGGGGAAAGAAGACTTAGAGGTGGGGCTGCATGCACAGGAGACTTGCCTATAGACAACAACGCAGACCTGTCTGTACACTATAACACACATCTGCCTATACACCACCACAACACAGGCCTACCTATACACCGCAAGCTTATTATTACACGAAAGGCGAATGCTTACTTGAGAGGTTTGCAGGAGACCACCCTCGTATATACCGCAATGTTTGGTGTGCCTGTTGTGTGTCTCTGGTATTTGCTCAGGTGTACAGACAGTCTGACTTCGTCGTGTGTACCCTGCCTGCTACTGCTGAGACAAAGCAGTGTATTTCATATAGTCAATTTAATGCAATGAAGAAAAATGCAGTCTTCATCTCTATAGGGAGGGGAAGTGTCGTTGATGAAGAGGCGCTGCTGCATGTGAGGCTTCTATTATTTAACATAAACCCTTAGTGAGAATCTTATGCATCTTTGTTACTTTGTTCTTCTTTTTCTCTCCTTAGTTTGAGGTGTATATCCACCATTCTTCTTATTGCTTCAGATACTCTTTTTCTTCGCTCTATCTTCTTTTGTTATTCTTTTTCTCGTATCCTCAGGCTCTTCACTCGGGTCAAATTGCTGGTGCTGCGTTAGATGTATTTAATAAAGAGCCTTTGCCAGTAGACTCTCCTCTTTGGTCTTCTCCCAATCTGCTGCTGTCTTCTCACAACGCTGACTTCTGTGATAACTTCAATGCAGCAGCAACACTGCGAGTATTTAACGCTAACATGATTAAATACTTAAGGGGGGCATCTAGCAACGCAGATATGGAGACACCGGTAGACTGCAACAGAGGGTACTAAACAGAAAAAAATACAATGCATGCATGCATGCGTGAATGGGGAGGATAGAGACTGCAGGCGACGAGGCACGAGGACAATAGGGAAAGAGAAATTTCCATACATTGTTTTTTGCGGATTATTTTTGGTCATTAAATGGCATTTTACTGCTGCTGCTACAGCTGCTGCTTGCCTGCCTGCATTGGTTGTGCATGCATGGATGCAACGAAAAGGATATCACAGGAATTCAAACCCTAAATCCCCAAAACGAAACAACTCCTGTTGTGCATGCAAAGTATTATCCAAGCTCGCAGCAATCTAGCAGCAGCACCTGCTTGTGCCGTTTGTGCTGGTGCTGCTGCTGGTGTTGCTAGTGTTGCAACTATTGATGGTGGTCTGCTGCTGGTGCTGCTGCTGCTGCTGCAGTAGGCGCTGCTCTGCTGCCTCTGCCGTAAACAGCCAAGCACGTTAACGTATTCATTCCTACGTCAGGGAATTTGAGCTATTGGCCCTTAATCCCTCAAAATTGACTTAAAATATATATAACACCTTAGCGCGAATCTAACATCCACAATTGATCCAGTGGATGGCTGCACCAGCACCAGCAAGCACGCTGTAATTATAGCAGCGTGTTATTATTGCACGCTGATATGCATGCTATATATATGTAGTGTGCGTGTAGTGTAGTGTGCAGGGTGTTATCAGCGTCTTATTGCACGCTATAATTTGTATATTACACACTCTAACTCTAACTCTAACTATATCTATCTAACTATATATATATATATATATAAT